TATGAATTTTACTGCTCTGGAGCCTCATATTAGAAGAATCATACAGTATTTGTTCTTTTTGACTTGGCCTATCTCACTTAGTGTAATGTTTTCAAGCTTTATCTTAGCATGTGTCAAAATTCTCTTTTTTAAGGCTCAGTAATATTCTATTATATGTACATATCACATTTTGTTCATTCATTTGTTAATGGACATTTGGGCAGTATTATTGTAAATAATTCTGCTACCAACATTTGTGTATGGAATCAATAGATTCTCTAATGTTTGGTCCATTTTCTCAAGTCCTTTTATTTCTCTTGGGTATCTACTCAGAAACAGAAGTGCTAGATCATACAGTAATTATGTTTACATTTCTGAGGAACCACTATCCTATTTTATTCCAATAGCTGTACCATTATGCATTCCTATTAGCAATGCACAGGGTTCCCTTTTTTCTACAACCTTGCTAGCAGTTGTTATTTTCTGTTTTTGTTTATTTTTGTTTTATATATAGCCATCCTAATGGGTATAAAGTAAGTACCTTATTGTGATTTTGTTTGCATTTCCTAAATGTTGAGTGGTGGTGTTCATATGCATTTTAGCCATCTGTATTTTGTTGGTAAAATGTCTATTTAAGTCCTTTGCCCATTTTCAAACTAGTTGGTTTTTATTACAGATATTTTAGGAACTCTTTATATTAATTCTGATATTAATCCCATATAAAATAATGTGATTTGCACATTTTTCCCTTCTGTAACCTTTTAATTCTTTTTATAATGTTATGATTTTTTATTTTTGTAGAATCTTGATTTTTTTCCCTTTTGTTGCTTGTTCTTTTGGTAGCATATTCAAGAAATAATTTCCAAATCCAGTATTATGGAGCTATCCCAGTGTTTCTTCTAAGAGTTTTCTGGTTTCTGCTTTAAGTTTAGCTCTTTGATTCATTTGAGGTAATGTTTGTGAATGGTTATAAGGTAAGGATTCGGTTTCATTCTGTTGATTATAGGTAATCTAGCTTTTTCAGCACCATTTGTTGAAAAGGCTGTCCTTTTCGCTATTGAATGCTTCTGACACCCCTATTGAAAATTAATTGACCATATATGTAAAGATTTATTTCTGAGCTCTCTGCTGTATTCCACTCGACATTCTACACTCAGTTTTGCTATGAAGCATGTATATTTTACATACATCCAGCACATATGCTTATTTTACTACTGGTCTTTCTTGTTTTAATCAGGAGTGATCATTTACGTAGGAAATTCCATTTTATCATTAAATATGTTGTTTTGACTCAACATATAATATGACGAATTTCTTCAATAGATTATCTAATGTTTGGTCCATGGTTATATTTCTGGAAAATGCTATTTGTTTATAGATGCCTGTAATATATATAGTGGCAAACAAAGTGTTTGTTAATATTTATTATATTTGTTTAAATGAGACCTAAATTTTTTTCCTTTTCATGATGTAATCCTTAGGTTAGTGTTATACTTGCTTCATAAAAAGGGTTTGCAAGATTTCCTTCCTCTATACTCTAGTATGGTGTAAATATCATCTGAATTATCTATCATTTGGATCTGAAAGAATTTTATCTATGAACTTAATAGCCTAGTATGTTTTTTGATTTTAGCTTTTTGAGAAAATCTTTTCAATTTCTTCCATGGTCTTAGTATATTTTAGTTGTATCAGAAAGAAATTTCAAAACTTGATCATTTGAGCCAAGAGAAGGCAGGAGAATTGCTTAAACTCAGGAATTTGAGGCCATCCTGGGCAACATGGTGAAACCCGTATTTAAAAACAAAAACAGACAAAAAAAAAAAAAACTTGTATTCTTCAAAGGGTGAGAAATAAGATGAGATCTTAAATGTAATTCTTACATAATTAAACTTCCCTTTCTCTTGGTAATGTTTTTCTTTGATATTTTATTGTTTAAAATATGTTCAACTATGAAATGTTGGCATGCCAAAAAGTACATAAAATGACATTTTGGTTAATTTTTCTTAATCTCATTAAGATTATAGTGTAGAGAGTTTTATGATCCTACCTCTTTGTCAGTGTTATTTGCTAAGATTCTGTTTTTAAGAAACAGATCTCAGTAGTTGAGTGCCTGTCTAGAATGCATGAGGCCCTAGGTTTGATATCCCCAGTACTGTAAAACAAACAAAGAAACCAGATCTGTACTAAGTACATTTGGCTTTAGCCAAAACTCAATAAAGTAAAGTAACTCTGAACTAAACTATGAATTGTTTGCTATTGAAATTGTATTAAAATATCTAGCCTTTCCCTTCATTTCTGAAAGAAGCTTGGTTGGGGAAGACTTTATCAAAGGAATAGATGATGTTCCTCAAATAGTAATAGATGAAAAAGAGAACTTTCGGTTTTACCAGTCTGATCAGAAACTCATTTCCTGACTGAAAGTCACTCTTGATACAGCTGTTTGGGTTTCCTGTGCCCTTTCTGAAGAGCTTACTGTTGCAATTTGTTTAAGTAGCAGCAATTGCTGAAACATTTTGGGGTAGGAGACTTCTTCATGAAATGGAAGCAAGTCTGAAGATGTGTCCTGTATGAGCCTGTTAGATGGCATTTCAGGGTCCTAAATTGTTATTTTTTGGAGCTGGCTTCTGACAGTTGAATAAATGCATAGAAATTTGTTACTATGCAAGATCACTTTAGGCTGGCATTATAGCTCAGTGGCAGAGTGCTTGCCTAGCACATGTGAGGCACCAGGTTTGATCCTTAGCACCACATAAAAATAATAAATAAAATAAAGGTATTGTGTCCTTCTATAACTAAAAATAAATAAAGAAAATCACCTTTACTGTTTCTTTTATTCATTATCTGACAACAATAGAGAGGATTTTATAATTCTAGAGTTGAGCCATCCTTACCAAAGTAATATTGTTTCTGGTTGCTAAAGGAATGTATTCAGCTATATTTAAGAAAAACGTTAATCCATGACAAAACTGTTAATATTTTATTCAGTGGTTTTAAATAGTTTAAAATTGCCAGAAACTCAAAAATTCTACTTACTGACCTCTAATAGTTAATGTGTTCCCTTGGTTCAAAATAAATGTTATGTAGTGAAGGACTTTTCCTCTTCTCCTGTAACCCATAATACTCAGTTCCTTTCCTTTACCTAAAACATTTTACTGGTAACAAGATTAATCTGTTCTCTTTCATCACTTTCCCATACCTTTGCCCCTCAGCTATCATTAGGTAAAATTGTGAAATAGGTCATATTTATTTGGGATAACTTTCTTTCTTAGTTTTTGTTGTTGTTTTTTTTACCTTTCTTGTCTGGTACATTAGTTCTCAACTAGTTATATCTCATAACTCACTAATGTTGAAAATCCTGTGATAGTATTAAACAGCACTTACTGAGGAAGAATTATATATGTTAGAGATGATGTACTTTAAGAATTAAGATTAAGAATTAAGATCACAGTTTAAAATTAGGTTATAGTTTAGGATATTTTCTGAAAAAGGAGTTGACCTCTTAAGGTGTTAGTAACTTCTGTAAATGAATGATTGATATGGGAGCTATCTTCTTGGGAAATAGTATACGTGATCTTTTCTCTGTGTTGGTATTCTCAAAGCATTTGAGGGATAATTCCAATGCCTATTGCAATGAGAATTACACTAAATAATCCATGTTAAACTTCTATAATGGTAATAGACACTGATAAATTTCAGTCATCTTTTTATTGTAATCTATAATATTTTACTGTTAGCAAGTTTAAACTTAATAATATTGCATTAAGTAGATAGAAAAAGTCATTATTTCTAGTATTAAAAATTGATAATATAATTCAAACATTAAGTTTAGACTGGGAGATAGTAGTATAGAAATGTTATACGTAACTTCAGAGCATGAAAGGGCTCTGAAATTTGGTAATTTTTGTATTTGTTTAGCTAGCATTCAGTTATTACTGGTTTCATTTTGGAGTATCATTGCTTTTAAGAGATGGTAATTATTTTATAAGTTGCCCACAAGTTGTATGTAAAACTGATGGCTTTTTAATAAGAGCTTACATATTATGTAGATCCTCAAGTGCAGTGTCAGCAGTAATTTTTCCCATATATAATAAAATTTTTTTAAAGAAATATATACTTACTGTGATAATTATTACCATTGTCTGTCTTTCAAATAGAGGTTATTTTATATAAATTTTATTTTATGTATTTTATGTAAATTTTATTTTACACAAATTTTCCTAACTTATATTACACCAAGTCTTCTCATATATTAAGGAAGGTATTTTATTTTTTTTATTTTTAATATAATTAATAAATTATCTTACCACTTTATGGCATTATTTGGGATTTAGTGTTTTATATATATGTGAGTAGAGTATATTAAAGATTAAAAAATTGAAAATGATGTTATAATTGATTCTATTTTATCACAGAGCTTACCTTTTTAAAAAAGATGCATTCCATTTATAATCAGCTTTATTTGGTTTATATTTATTCCTTTTCTCTGTTTATTCTATAGTAACTTTTTAATGTAAAGATGCCTGTTAGTTTTCCAAAAAGATAGTAATGCTAATACTCTCTTTGTCAGGTACAGGAAGAATAGAACAATCAGCCCTCCATCTGGCTAGAATATTTGTTATCTAAGTCATCTATACTATCATTGCTTCTGAAGGAGTTACATTCATTTTTTTGTCCATTATATTTAGTAGAAATACCATTTTGTATTTAGTTTGTCTCTTTTCTTTAAAAACACCAATATGGAAATCTTCAGTTTTCTTTGATTTGATAACTTTAATTTATTAATGGTATTGATGTGAGGATATCATATTTTTTAAACAAGATAACTTAGACTTCCTGAATCAGTTATGACTAATTCAGAATGTAACAATGTTTTTTTCCCAGGATTTTGCTGTTTAGAGGATTTCAGTATAGCTTCCTAACCAGTACATACTAAAAATTTGAATTATATTGTAGTTGCTTGAGGTTAAGGAATAAAGACCAAATTCTTTTATTTTTTATATTTTGTTTGTTTGTTTTTAAAGACACCTAGCTGTTGGGCAGAAGAAGGAGCAGAAAAGAGATCACATCAGCGTTCTGCATCATGGGGGAGTGCTGATCAACTAAAAGAGGTAAGTTATTTCTGTTTTTTGTCTATAACCTATTTTGTGCTAGCAGATTATTTTGCTGTTTTTGAATATAATGGTATTTCTTTTATTTATCCTAACATTACTTCATTCAGAATTTAAGGGTTGAATTTGTGTTTTATTGAACAAGACAAGAGTTTCCTTTAGTATCCTTTATGTCCTTTATAAATATTTGTTCTGTATCCAGTTGATATATCTGTTCTAGAATGAAGTCTGATTTTATATAATAATTCTATGTTTTGTTCATTTAGGTATTTTTTGTTCCTCCTTTACCTGCTTGTTTTTAAATTATGGCAAATAGAGATAGAGATCATAGGTTTGTACAGTGATGGATAGTGTTTATTGTTTCTGATACATTTTTTTAATGATGTCTAGCATACTGTTTTCCTTTGGGACCTAATAGTACAGTAGAAACTATATCTTTTTTTAATTGGATTTAAAAAACCATTTTTTAAATTGTAGATGGACACAACACCTTTATTTTATTTATTCATTTATATGTGGTGCTGCAGATTGAAACTGGTGTCTCATGCATGCTAGGCAAGCACTCTACCACTGAGCCCTTCATTGGATCTTTTTAGTTATACATGACAGTAGAATCCATTTTGACATAATTATACAAGCATGGAATATATCTTGTTCTAATTCAGATCCCATTACCTCTCCTTCCCTGTTTCTCTTCCCTCCCCTCCTCTTTTCCCTCTGTTGCTCTTTATTCCATTTACCCAGTTATTTTTTTTAATTATTTTTTTGTGAATGTATATGATGGTGAGATTCACTGTGGTATATTAATATCTTTTAAAATTATTTCTTATTATTCATTCCCTTATTATAAACAACTACAGATATAACTATGTATCTTTAATCTTATCTATCTACATTCTTATCTGTTTTTATTAAATTACAGAAACTTGGAGTGGAAATGTCGTCTGTTCATCTCCTCTGTAATCACCCTTTTAAAAGATGGTTATCTAATATTTCTTAATGATCATTCTCAGCAAGGGGAACTCATTACTTTAAGAGAACCAGTTCAATTGTTTTAACTTACGTTGTTAAATGTGTTCTTTTATATGTTGCATGAGATATTATACTACTTAGTTTTTACTCTACCTTTTTGGATTCATAGGAAATCCATTTTAACTATTTGAAAGGTTAGCAATAATTCATTTTTTTTCCTTTAGGGTAAACATTGACATTACTATTGAATTTTTTCATGTTTATAGTTTCCAGATTTTTTTTTATCATTTTCATATACCATAGGTTATCATTATCCATATCCCTCATATACTGTCTGGCAGCATGATTTTTTTTTTATACCAGGGATTGAACCCAGGGGAACTTAACCACTGAGCCACATCTCCAGCCCTTTCTATTTTTTATTTTGAGACAGGATCTCACTGAGTTGCATGGGGCCTTACTGAGTTGCTGAGGGTGGTTTTGAATGTGTGATTTTCCTGCTTCAGTCTCCCGAGCTACTGGGATTAAAGGCATGCTCCACTGTGTCCCACTATTAGCATGATTTTTGCCTGTGATTTTATTACATCTCTTTAGTAGCCTTTTGATGTTATGGATGTAAATCTGGATCTCCCATCTACCTGACACAGGAACACAATATGCACAAAATCAACAACAAAAAAGGAAGCTGAGTCTAATATATCAAGACTAAAATAGTGCTACAAATTCATGCATAGACTATGAGTAAAACAACCATAAATGCACGTATAACTACCAAAACAAGTATTTCAGTGCTCTGGAAATTAATCAAAATAAATTGAGAAACTTCAAACAAACAAACAAACAAACAAAACCTACTGAACTTAAAGTAAGAATAGCACAAGCTTGTAGTAAGTATTCTAGTATTCTTGTCTAGTGCTACTTCTCTTCCATTCTTCCTCATCCCTAGGTCTATTGGTGACATTTCAACTAGAATGAGGTAGGCCTTGAAAACCAGCAGATTTATTGCCCTTACTGGAAAGAGATCAGTTGATATGGAGCCTTGTCAGTTAGAATATGGATCTTTGTGGCAAGTAACAGGGAGGGCCAATTTATGAACTAGTTTGAGGTTGTAGTCCAATTTGGAGCATGAAACAATCTTACGTACTAGTGGAATTTAATAGTTTTGAGAGATAAGATAGTCAGAGACTTGATAAATTCCCCATATGTTCTATGTTGACTAGGGATAATGGATATGCACAGCAGATAACAAAGTGGGCCCAAACCACCCATGCATTCCTGCTCAGTAAAGCCTAAGAATAGGTGCAAACCAAATTTAAGTGGTTCAGTGGAAATGAAAACCAGGTAAGATTCTAAAAGTCCGGAATTTCAAATGTACTACTCTGTCCACAGATAAGTTCTATCAGTGGAAGAGGAAGTTTTACTGGCTTGAGATAGTTTTTAAGAATATATGATAAATATTTTGCTAAACACTGAGGCAAACCAACGCTGGAGAACAGCTTTAAAGAGTATAAAAAAGGCATGCTTAAAATAATGGAGTAGTGACATTAGTGACCTATGTTACAAGGGAAACAGACCTTTAGGCCATCAAGTTACTGAAGCAACAAACAGATGTGACAGTAGCTTTCAGAGGGAAATATCAATACCAGGAATTGCTGTATTTTACTATCTCAATTGTTCAACATTCAACCAAAGATTTAGATATATGCAAAAAACAAATATATGGCACATACTCAGGAAAAAAAAATGGTCAGTAGAAATTTTATCTTAAGTGTCTCTGTATATTGGATTTAGCAGACAAAGGCATCAAAACAGCTATAAGATTTTCAAAGAACTATAGGAAACCATGATAAAAGAAAAGTAAGACTGGTAGGACTGCAGACACTCTCTGCATGAAGAGTTTCTACAAAGAGTTATTATAAGAAAGAGGCAAAGATATTATAGGCTTAAAAAGTATAGTAACTAAAATTAAAATTTTACCAAATAGACTTAACCACAGATTTGAGATGACAGACAAAATTAGTAAATATGCCAGTAACTCAGTAGAATTTGTATCCCCTAAGGAAAGGGAACAGATAGGCGGAGGGGGGGGGAGAAATAAAAGTCAAAGAGCCACAGAATCAAGAGAGAAGAGGCAGAGCAGAGCAAGAATAAATAAATAAATAAAAGTGGAAGAAATAATAGCAGAAAAGTTTCCAGATTTGGTGAAGAACAAACTGCAATGTTAAGAAGCTAAACTAACATAAAACACAGATACATCATAGGTAAACTGTTGAAAACCAAAAGTAAATATAAAATCTCAAAAGATGGAAAAAGAAAATGAATCATCATACATGGAGAACTAACAATACCTTTAATAACTAACTTTTTATCATAAATTATGGAGACCACCAGGTATGACATATTCCAAGTGCTGAAAGAAAAAAAATCTGTTAATCAACTATTCTTTATCCAGTAAAACTAGTATTCTAAAATGAGGATGAAAAACAAAAAGCATTCCCATTCCCATATGAACAAAAGATTGAGAGAATTTCTTGCTATATGTTGTCTGTAAGAGACACACCTTGAGTTCAAACACAGTGAAAGTGAAAGGATGGAAAACGATATACAAAGAAAGCAGTAGTGGTAAGAGAACTGGAGTGGGCATATAAATACCATACAAAATAGACTTTACAACAAAAAGTATTTCTGAAGACAAGTAGGGACATTTCATTATAGTAAAAAGGTCAGTGTGAAAGGAAATGTTACAGTTATAAATATGTATGACTCTAACAATAGCATTCCAAAATGCATGAAACAAAAACTGTAAGAGGAGAAATAATAGTCTTACCAGTAGTGACTAGGGATTTCAGCATCCTATTCTCAATACTTGCTTTAACAACGAAGTAGACAAAGAATTACAAGGTGGTAGAAAATAACTTAAAAGTATTAATTTTAAAAGAATTAAAATGATACATTGAAGACTTCACCAACATTACCAACTAACTTGATATATTTTAATTGCTATGTATAGAAAACACCACCCAGTTACTGTGAAAAATATCTATTAAGTATATGTGAAATGTTCTTTAGGTTAGACCATATTCTGGACCATAAAACAAGCTTCAATAGATTTCAAAATATTGAAATCATATAACAGTAAATTTTCTTTTTTTAAACATTTTAATATAAAGGAAAGACTATAAATTATTGCTTTCCATAGGTGCTTAACTTTCTAACATGCTGTTTCTCCTTTATTATTTGCCATAGGTAAAAGTTATTTCCCTCAATGGTCTGTATACCTTAAATATTTAGGCTTTATTAGTAATTGTCTAGTGTGCTTTTTATTGCCGTGGTTTTTTAAGTATTTAGAGAACTTAATAATACATTTTATTTTGAATAGCTCTGTATGAGAAAATCAATATATTTCATAGACTTCATGTTTTGTAAAATTATGGTAGGAGAAATAATTGTATTTTATTTTCTCTAGACCTTTAAGAAAGCAATCTGCAGATTTTATTGTTCAAAGGAATTTTGTGAGAAACTTTATACATACATATATTCTTCATCTAAGAAAGTCTCTAAATTAAGTGGAGGCACAAAAATCCTTTTATTATCTCTCTCTTTTAGTACTGGGGATTGAACACAGTGCACTTTACCACTGAACTGTATCCCTAGCCCTTTATATTTTTGAGATAGGGTCCTAATAATCTCGGAGACTGAACCTTGAATTTGTGATCCTCCTGCCTCAGCCTCCTGAGTCACTGAGATTATAGGCATGTGCTACTATGCTTGGCCTTTTAGTATCTTTTAGAAGGTCAATAAATAGGAACAGTTTTTAAGATTATACAAACTGCTTATTGGGAAAAAAAAAGAAAGAAACTTTATCAGTAGATCCACATACAGTAAGTTAATTGCCTTAACAAATTTTTATTCATTTTAATTTTAATTTTATAGCTTGTAGTATCTCCAACATTAAAAAATGAAATTAGTTTGTGAAGTGGTTGAGATCATAAGCCAAATATACTATTACTGGTACATATTAGCAGTTA